TTAGAACTTAAAAAAAAGAAGAAATCTAAACTGTAAAAAAATAAATAAACTAGATCACAAACTGGATTTATAAATGTCCACTAACAGGTTGCAGCATAGAAATAAAGCATATGTATAGATATAGATATTACTGAGCTGAAATGCACCTTTTCAAAACTGTAACTACAGGTAGGGGTGGGCAGATCAGTATTTGGAATATTAATACTACCAATACTAATTATGGTTTTTAGTAGCAATACTAGTGTCGGACGGGTCATCACCAAAAATAAACATGGTTTTGTCTCCTGTTGGATCACACTCTGGGCACACGAACACACTCTGCTGCCGCTGTGTGCAGCATTCAGTGCATTGATTAATAGAATTAACTCAGTGAGGATTAATGTTAATTCTCCTTTCATATCTGTCTTTTGTTTTGACATAATTACCTTAGTAGTATAATGAATACATTGTAATGTTCAGCAATCAGCATCATTTGGCTGCAGTAGAAATGTATTCAGAAACACAGTGGCCGCTTGTAATAATAAAAAGTTTAAGTATCAGTATTGATACTGGTATTACTACCACCCTAAGGGGAGCTACGTCTGCAACAGAAATGCCACAGGCAAGAACTGTACAAGTTTCTGTAGCAGAAGGAGATTTGTGATAGCAAGGACAACCTTAAGCACGTTGAAGAAAAGCACTGTAATCTTCTCATTTTCACACAGAACATACAGTTAGGAAATGTGTCTGCAACCATCTGCTCACCTCAACCTCTGCTTTATGTCACAGTGAATGAAAGAATGCTATTGATTGCACAGCAATAGTCTCATACAGTATTCAGTGGTGAGACGAGGCTAACCTTCATATCATTGTTGTATATCACATAGTGAATGACAGAATGTGTAATTATAGCACTGTACAGCCAGATAATGTAATGTCTGTCTGTTATTGTGCTACATCAATTTGTACCACCACAATAATAAGTCAACCTTAAGCCCTATAACACCTACAAGGATCCTGTTCATCCTCAGCAGCTTAAAGCCACTATCCATATTTTTAATGTGTGTGAAAATACGTTTTTTTCTGTTTTCTTTTTTCTAGTAATAACTGACTTTTCCACACAAATGACTGTTTTGTAGTGAAGGTATGCTATGTAGTTGTTTTGTTTATATGAAATGATACTGTGTGGGTTAGCCACTTTTTTTCATCAGTCATGGCGTAAACAGGAAATAATATTTTCAACAAGTATGTAAGTAAAATCCTGGCAGAGATTAGAACGAAACACTTAATAGAAAATGGATGAATGAAGAATTTCATAAAATAGTGTTATGAAACATGAAAAAGAGTGCCATACACTGTCCACTCAGAACATAGTATATTCCCACATATTTTTGTATTGACTAACTTCACAAGGCTCAAATTCCAATTTAAATCCACTCATAGTCTACCTTTTACACCGGGGCCATTTTGACAGCAGTGTTTGACCCATTGCCTGCTCTTAAAACACTGTTTCATTTACTGTAACACTCAGAATACATTCTGAATATAAATGAAGGTAACTTTTAACCTTGTTCACAGAGACAACTAAGCCCACTGCAGTCGGGCCAGGCAGTAAAAACCCCTTCATTCCACCTACCGCTGTCACCCTGAGCATGTGGAAGAGTCATCTCAGGGGTCGATTAGTGATGAATATGTAGTCGCTCCTCTTTTCTCACTCTCATCCATTATGTATTAGAGACAGTGCAGTGTGGAGGAAGAGGTCGTCAACTGCCATTTTGCCAGAGAAGCACCATTTGAGACTTACAGTAACACAGCATTAGAGTTTTTATACCTGGGTAGATGTTTGTCGCTTTGCATAAACATAGATAAATCACAGAGTATATACAGTATTTAGACATAAATACAATAACAAATAGACATAAATACAAGCCTTTTATGACCTAAGAAAAACAGCCCTGTTTTCAGATGTAAGATTAATTAATGTTTCAGGTTTTTAATTGGTAATTTAGCTGTAGAAGTGTGTGAATTGAACCCTAACTCTGGATAGCAGCAACAGACATGTTACAAAGACTTGGACAAAGGATAGGGCAGGAGTCTGTGCTTTCTGATCTGATATGTCATTTCTGTGCAAGTGAACATTATTTGTAATAATTATCAGAAACCATTGAAGAATCTGAGATTTTATGCACAGAAACTGGGCCAGTGGGCTTTAGTTTATATCAGTTGACATCCTGGGGGACAGATTTGTTCTTTTTTTTTTTTTAATCTGATAGGTCTTATCTGATATTACTGGACATATAACACATGATTACATAAACTTTAGGGCTTAAAAGGGTCCAAAATAAACCTTACTTTTCTGAGAAACACAGTGCGACCCAGCTGGCTTGGTGATTTAGATGGCTGACTGGCCTTCTTTTATTGATTTCAGTGTGATTCAGCCTCTTCTTTCTAGTCTCCAGAGGAGGTGGCTCCATGCTACATTCCTGTTGTCAGAAAGTGACATTTCACTTAAATTACTTCACTTGAAATAATATTAAAGTACATTTTAAACGTATATGCAGCTGATGTGGTTATATCAGCTTGAAACAACATGAATGAATCTGCTGCTTCCATATTCCACTGGTGCATGACTTATCTTCTTCCCTTAAATCATTACACCGCCGCCTCCTCCACAGTTTTAATATGCAAAAGCAGGAAATCCTTTTCTGTGCCTTCGGGTCACCCCCACACTTTGAAAGATTAAATTGATCTCCATGATTACTTTGCATCACAGTTAGATGATATCCAGAAGTGAGCCTCCAGCGCACTGTGCAGTATTTTCCTTTAATTTCTTTGGTCTGTGACACTAAATACGCTCCATTACTGATTATTTAGGATTATTTAGGTACAATATAGTCAAATAAATATGTAAATAATTGAGAAGTTGTGTGTAAGAAAGGGAGAGAATACAGTAAAATGGGAGCATATGGTGGTGATTTTAGTGAGGGCGGATCAGGAGTTATGATTCCCTGGGGTCCCACTTACATCTATTATTCATGTTTTAGAGGGTCTGATAGCCACTCAACCTATGTATAGTTACAGGCAGGCTTGGGGGTCCTTAATTTAGCCCTCATTCTAGTCTGAGTCCGTGTTATTCAAACATTACAAGCACTTATGTATAACAAATAAATATGTAGCAATGTGTAATGAAAAAACTCTTTGTTTGTATAATTGTAAATGAGGAAAATCGGCAGTGTGACACATTGAAATACACATTTATATATGAGCTATTATAGCAACATTCAGCTGTATTTATAGTTCTAAATATATTCATCGCTCAATATTTTATGATCTTCATGCAGAGGTCATACCACCGGTGAATGAGACCTTAAAAATAGACCGGTTAGTGATGGATATTCCACTAAATAAGTAAAAAATCTAGATACAGCAGCTCTAAATATCCCCTCATCCTCCTGCATTAGTAAAGTCAGACTAGGTCCAAATGTTCTGGTACAGTACGGTTCTGTTTTATTGCCCTGTGTCTCTGGGTTTTTGTGGTAATATGTCTCTTACCTGAGTACATCCAAGTGGACTCTAATCATGCGGTGCATGATCATCACCACAAGAGAAAGATGTTTTTTTTTGAGGCGAGAGAAACAGTGTGTGCTGTGAAAATGACGTGTTGTTGTTCTTCGCCTGCAGCTACACGTTGTTCATGTTCTCTGTCTCTATTTGGCTCTGTTTGGGTCTACTGCATTTTGGATCGGGTCTGATATGGATCGGTTCTGACTGTTCCTGGGTGGGGCAGCCATGTCTCAGGAGGTAGAGTGGGTCGTCCACTAATCACAAAGTTGACACACATGTCGAAATGTCCTTGAGCAAGACACTGAATCCCAATGGTCAGGCCAGCACCTTGCATGGTACCTCCCTGCCAACTGTGAGCGTGTGTGTGAATGGATAAATGGCAAATTGTGAGATTTGGATAAAATCCCTTTATAAATGAGCCATTTATTTACCATTTTTGGTCTTTTTAAAATGTTCAGGTAGCTTTTGTTTGGGTATTTTTTGGATTTAAAAAAATTTATTGTGTAATGTCCTGTGTGGCTCTGGAGGAGCTTTGTCAAGTTTGAGGAAATAACCCCTGATGTTGTCATCATGTCATCACAAAGCCTGAGCTTGTAGACCAATTTTTAGCCCCGCTAGCAGCACAGCTGAAAGGATGGCAATGACGGTCAATTTGTCAGTCTATTACTTTGGTTCACATAAAATATCTCAACAACTGTTAGATGGATTGCTACAACATTTTGTACAAAGATTTAGAGTGACCCAGAAGATGAATTGTAGCAACTTTGGTGATCCCCTGACTTTTCTTCTATTACCAGCAGGGTGAATATTTAGCTTTTTCAGTCAAATCTACAAGATGGGTGGCACAAAACTTTGTCTAAACCTTTATGAATCCAAGCTTATGTATCCAAATGACTTAGACAACAGAGTGAAATTGATTACTATGTAATTTGGTGCAGACATTCATGGTCTTTTTGACCTTTGGTGATCTCCTGACTGCCATGATCAGATCAAAATGTCAATCTGTCCATTATTTTGGTTCATCTCTACAGTTTCTATACAATGACCATTGTAGCCTCACAAAACAGCTTGGTGACTGTTGACAGTAATGTAGCTTCTCAGTTAACAAGACAAAGAAGAGTAGCATAGCATGCAGGTGTACAGTAGAAGACATAGGGTCTAATAACAATATGCCATAATTTCCATCATGGGAAACGTAGGATTCAGCATTGCAAGAGCTTGACTGCTAAAGGAGATTGAAAGTCAGGATACCTCATCCTCTGCTGCTTCAATCTGAACCATCCCTTTGTGTAAAGGAGTTCCCAGATGTTAAGAAGACCAGTACACAACGTGTTGCTCAAGAACCTCACGTTGCAGCAGTTGTGTTCCCAGCGTGTGACAATACAGAATGCGTTATCTACAGAAGCTTTATTAATTGCAGTTACCTACATTTTCATTATATTGTCCTGTGTCTCCAGGTGTGGAGGGGCACCATAGCCAGAATGCGATACCGGCGGATGAGAGCAGCACTTGTCATCCTGCAGGCCTACCGACGCTACAAGGTCAAGTCCTACATCCGAGAGGTCAACCGCCGCTTCAAAAATGTCCGATCAATGAAGGATTACGGCAGGCATGTGAAGTGGCCCACGCCCCCCAAAGTCCTGCGCAAGTTTGAAGATGCACTCAGAAGCATCTATAACAGGTACTCAGGCAAAATAACTGTATATTATTTCTTTATCTTTAAATGTGACTACTGTTTACCTGCTGCAACTTCAAGATTCATAACAAAGGTTCTTGCTTCTCTTTAAACTTACACAAACACAACAAGCTGCTGTGTTTATATATATATATATAAATATAAAGTGAAACTGCATTTAAAAGTTTAACAATGTGCCACACATTCTCAATTATATAATTCAAAGCAGAGGCAGAGGATGAGCCTGTTGAAAGAAAATGTTTAAAATTGCTTTCTTTTGAAGAAAACCACTTTCCTAAATTGGCCGAACTAAAAGTGGATCTGACCCCAAACGCAGGAGAGAGTGCATGGCCTCAAGTGTTGTTTTACATCCAGATGAGTTCGTTTGAAGCAACTTACACATGTTTCCTTCAGCCTTGGGCTCACACTGGGCATTGATTTTTCTTCCTCCATCAAAGACTCATCACTAGCTTTCATCCCAACGTCTGTTTGTTTGCTTTTTTCTATTTGAAGCTGGGCACAGGAAGAAAATAGCCTTCCTAGAGAATGATGTTGGCTGTCAGGATGTGTGAGTAGAAGGTCAATAAGTACAGTACAGCTGGGGTCTCCTGCAGTTCCCGCTGACCTAACTATCAAGGCCTTATGCAGTAACCATGATGGAGAAAAGTCGATTTTCCTCTGTTCTTACTTTTCTCTTTGTGTGTGTGTGTGTGTTTATGTGTGTGTGTGTTTGTGTTGTGTGTGTGTGTGTGTTTGGGTGCTTTTACCTCCAGGTGGTGGGCTTGGACACTGATCAAAGGCCTCTCTCCAGAGGAGGCCCTGCAGGTGAGGGCCAAGGTAGCCAGCCTGGAGGCCCTGAAGGGCCAGAGGGCCGACTTGGGTCTACAGAGGGCCTGGGAAGGAAACTACCTGGTGAGTGGGTGGGGTACAGTAAAATGTGTGTCTTTATATATTGGAAGGAAAAAACAAACGCAGCAACAGAGAAAACAAAGACATATTGTACAGACTACTGTCCCTGTGTGTTTTCTGTCTCTAAAATCTATATTAGAGCTGTATATCGAACATCAATACTTCTTTGGTACCGACTGTCTGGCAACGCTTAGACAACTGTGATAATCTTGTTTACTTACTCTTTGATCAGATAGTTCCTGATTGAAATCAAAATGTTGCCCATTTTAGACTCATTTGTTAAGCACTTTATTGTACGGCTACTTGTGTTTAGACATTAAACTTCAGCTTGCTAATTTGTTTAAATGAAAAAGGTGTTGTATCATAATTGAAGGTCAGGTATTTTATCAGCATTAGTATCTAAAAATGTCATATACTACCCACTGTAAATCTCTTTACCTGTATATTGTGTTAAATTCTCACATTTACTGTAATAACTATAAAGGACACCAAAACTGTTGACCTTTAAATTGTACTGGATTCAGAAAGTGTATTAATTAAAATCTTTAGTTTAGTAGATTCACAGTATCAGTAATTTTCCAGATCTGGTTTATTTCCCTGCCCAATGATGAACAAGTTATTATTTGAACAAGTGTTCTGTTTTTGTGCCCGACAGAGGCGAGACAGCCCTGACACAGCTTCATCCTTCACACTGGTCTCCAGCGAACTGCAGCGGAAAGACAAATTCATGAGAGTCCTGTTCTCATGCAACGTGCGAAAGGTAGGAGGCTTTTAGAGCATTTATCCACCGCTAACCACATGCACACACAGTCACAACATGGAACTGCCTTCACAAACAAACAAACCCAACTGTTCCTGGTTTGCTCAGTCTCCCTGCAGGGTGTTTAGATGTGTATGTGCGTGTCTGTGTGCACCTATCCTGTGGGGTAACTAATGAGGAGCTTTGTGTTTCCCAGATCAACCGTTTCCACAAGGCGGAGGACCGGGCTGTGCTCATCACTGACCGCCACCTGTACAAGATGGACCCCCTGAAGCAGTATAAACCCATGAAGAGCACCCCCCTCTACAACGTATGGCACTCCATTCCGCTAACAGCCTCCTTTATTACAAACACAGGGTGGTAAACAGAGGGCGGCTCATTAGACACAGGTGTTACAGCATTTTAGTGCAGATTCCCAACGAGGCTACACATATTGGATTAAGAGAAGTAGAGATCTTCTGGATGCAAATCCATAAAACACTGTTTCATGTGTAGTTGATCAGTGTGGGTCAGAATGAGAATGGTTTATGCAGAATTGCTTTTGATTTGAACTGAATTATATGTTACACACTTGGGTAACTTCAAAATGAAACGCCATAAATCATGTTACTTCAAGATCAAGCTTCCAAAAGCACAAGAGTTTTAGCTGTCGATTCAGCACAAGTGTAGCCTGATTCATGTATGAGGAAGAAAGATGAATGTGAGGTGACCAAATGTAGCTTTTGACAGATGATTCTTTGTTGCCTCTATTAATCTTTTGTAAACAGAGACACTGAAAGAAACAACCATCTCATCATACTGATGCTTTAACATTTAACGTTTTATTGGCGGTGAATTGGGGCAGTTATTCATACGCAAAGGGAAATGAAGGCGCTTAACATAAGTGGTTCACAAGTTGGACCCCCATAAGTTATCAGAAGTCAAGAAGTTTTTTGTTAGGGTTGGAAATAACAGAAAACTAAGTTTAGATACTCATATTGTGTTTATTTTTACAACTTTGCTATAATTGAACTGCTCACAAGTCACCACTTCATTGCAGAAAGAATTTAAAACCTAAAAAGAGATTGATAATAAAACATTAAATCACAAAAAGAGGACTGAAACAATTTTAAAGTGAATTAAAAAGACAAAACTTTATAAATCAATACACAATAAGTTAAAACATTAATGCAAGTAGGAAACTTTGGGTTCAGTCAAAGGCATTGGAGAACATAAAAACATTTTAAACTCAGATGTAAAGGTTGTTGGATGGTAACTAAATGCTGCTTTTCAGTGGTTAGTTTGAACAATCAGCAGGTTCATCTCGTAAAGGAGATATTGAGAAATGTGTTGACGACCAGCAGTAATGTAAACTGTTCCAATTAACTGTTTGATATGGACCATACTACTTCTGGCCAAGTGTAATTACAATGCCTCCTCATTATACAGAGACCATGCAGTATATCAGATCTCTCACAGCCTACTCCGGTCGAATTTGATTAATAGGAAAAATATTCATCAGATTCATCATTACTGACAATAATCATTAATCACCCAGCTTGATGCTTTTGATAAGAAATGTTAATGTTGTACAGTAAGACACTAGAACATAGGGAAGCTGTGGCAGAGGTTACAGTATTATCTCTGATTTCCCACCAGCCTGTTATCGTGTGGCAACATGTCGATATGCAAAATCTCATTGGGCTCTACAATTGGCTGGTTTAATTCATATTCACTGTGATAGGCCCGTTAAGGCTTCTTCACGCACACAGCATTGCACACAGCACATCAGGCTGTTTCCATGGCAGATGTGTCCTGTGTGGGTTTCTGTGTGTGTTGGCTTTATGCTAATTGTTTTTTTTACACAAGCAAAAATCAGTTGCATTTGAGGTTGAATTTCTTTTTTTAATTTTCTCTTATTTTCTTAAATCTTCTCTCACAAATTAGAAATTGATTCCTAATAAGAAGCTGTGGTTGTGGTTTAAACCTGGTTAGAGGAAGACATTTGGTTATTGATTGGAGAAATGTGCTTATTTGCTCTCTTGCTCAGAGTTAGAAGATCAATATCAATCTCATAGGACTTCCTGGTGTCTTGTCGTCATCGTGAGGTTGCCAGGCAACCAGCAAAGACTACAGGAAGTCACCATAAAACTTTTTGTCTTCATTATTTGGTTTTGGTGTGGTACAACATATATAAGCTGGCTGTAGCTTTGTGAACAGGTGTTTGAACAGGGAGTGCCACAGAGAGCAGGCTGTCTTTTGAAAGGACGCCATGATTACAGTACATAATGATAAATACATAAACAAAGAAAATCATAGTGTGCATCAACAAGATTGTTTAACAAACAAACATTATCCAACAGACAGTACAACAATCAGGCCAAGGACCTCCACATCTGTAAGCATCCATAATACATACAGTAAATATTAAAGCCAGCATTCATGATGGTCAACATCATTTTATAGTCATGGTGTGGCCAGGATGAACAAATGAAGACCAAACACCAGGTAAAAAACATTTTTAAGGGGTAATTTGTTTGCTAGTACAGCAGCTCATGTGGTTAATTTAGCATAATGCACATTTCCATTTCCAGCACTAATTCCATCACTACCACTACGCTGTTCTCACTTGTTTTTTTCTTTAAAGGGGTAGTTCCTTTTTCTTTTAAGTAGTGTTTTATGAGGTACTTATTCATAGTCAGTGCATTACCTGCATTAGATGCGTGGCGGTCAACACGCCCCCAATTTGGAGAAGCACCAGCACGGAAGCTAAGCATGCATTGTCGTGGATGGGGGCAGCAATAAAACGTTTTTTAGCCACCTAAAAAAATCAATGTTAGTTTAAGTGTACGCTAGAGTTAGAATATTTTTACTGCCTTATCTTGCTGTCAAACAGCGCTTTCCACCTGGAAACTAAAGCATTTATATTGCTCTCAGAAATCACCACACTCCTTTGACAAAAATGTCATTTTACCTCGCAGCACACAGGATTTTCTGGTCTACCGCTGCCTCTGTAGCAACTAACGAAATTACATGTCAAAACACCAAAGTCACACAATAACACAAACAAACCAAGCAATCAAGGCGGCAGACCAGCAAGTCCCGCGTTCTGCAAGGTAAAATTACTGTTCTTGTCAAAGGATTCTGGTGGCTTTGAAAAGAGCACAGATCGATACAGTAAGCCTATTTTCCAAAATGTTGAACTCTTCAACCATAACAATTACACACCTGACCTCGTTCAAAGAGCGCACTCAAAACTAATTAATGCAGCTGAAGGTGAATGGACTGCCAGATCTCCCTTTTAAGAAAACAAAGCCAGAAGAGACAGCAGCGTTTTAATCAACAAACTATTGATGATATTTCTACTCTAACCTTCTCTCCTATTACGCGCCGCTATGACAAACATTGCTTACGCAGTTTATCCGCACCGCTGATAAAGGAGGTGAGGAAGCAGTGAGACAGGAAGTGAAGGTGTAATGCATTAATCTCTGAGGCGGGTATTCCGTCGTCTGGTAAAATGAGTGAGATATGAGGCCGGTGTGCAGTGACAACTGTGACAAGACACCCCAGTGTTCAATCTGACAAAGTGACAAGAGGGAATTAGAGAGCCTGGAGATGGACACCAAAGCCTGTATCGCTGCATCTGGAAGTGAAATGGAGAGATGGAGTTGAGACAGATGGTGGCAGAGAGAGAGCAGATTTTTAGTTATTGTTCATTCAGAGAGTGAGTCACTCACACATACACACACTCTGAGTTGATGGATGAGGCTCTGTCCTATACTCAAGGTATATGGGAAGCCATCAGTGTGGGAGGAGGATGGGGGGGCACATAGTGTGGTTTGCAGTATTTGCACAATGACAGTGACACAAGATTAGTACAGCACATACAGAGATCTCCATACAGTACACAGTATAACCAAAGATATAGTTGAGGGTAGAGACATTTACAGCTATTTTAACCCCCTTTTCAACTATGAAACATAAAAAATGTGTCTTTTGTTTATCCAAACAATTAAGCATTTGTTGCATTCTTTGAGTATAGGTCTGGTAATACTCTATAGTTTGTTATTCTAAACCAATCTGATGAAAAGCCCCAAATCAAAAGGGACTTAAGTGTTGTCAGTATATCCAAACTATCTTATTCCTGCCATAGAGCTGCAAACACACCAGTGAGCCAATGGGTGACATGTTCCTTTTATTACCACAAACACACACACTGTAGTTTATGCCTGTTTTAGTAAATCACTGAGCCTTTTTCTAATTTAAACAACGTATTTGTGAGCTTTTAAATAAGCTTTTAAAGAATTGCATCTTCAGGAGGAACCAAGCAGCTTGTCTAGCAGAGTGTAACAGACAAGGATAGGGACATCAGAAGGTATTAAAGGAAAGGTTCACAATGTTTCAAATGTTTTTGAGGAAATGCTTTTCTAAAGCAATTTCAATGTAAGTGATGGAAGACAAAATCCACAGTCCGTGTTCTCTTTAAAATAGGATTGTAATGTTCAGCTGAAGCAAATATGAGTGGATATCTTCCAAACTCATATTAGTCGTGTCTGTCCGTCTGCTGTGGCTTGGCAAGGAAACACCGTCTGGGGAAACAGACTAAAAACATTGTTACTTTGGAAGTTACTTCACCCACTTTATTTGTCTAGCTTGAAAAATGAGACGGACTAACACATTTAATTTTGGTTTTTTATAAGTAAGCTGTATTTCTATAGCACCTTTCAAAGCCAAAGTTACCAAGCGCTCATAAATATAAAATAACATTAAAAACAGCAAAACAACTGAAGTATATGGTGAGCCATAGACAAAATAAAGTAAAATACCAACAACATAAAACCATTGGAATAATGAAGTATTAATATTCTGTACAGTACAAATGTGCATAAGGATGTATGTTTTAGCTCGTTGCTGCAGCTGGCTGTCTGTGTAGAGAAGCTCATTCATCTTTTTACATTCACCATCACATCCATGATAATAACCACTGCCCCGCTGTATCCATAACACCAGGCCTTCTTTCACACAGCAAATGTCAAGCTGAGTGGGTGAGTAAATTGGGTGAACAAGCGCAAAGGCGGGTGAGAAGAAGTGTAGAAAGAAAGAGGGGTGAGGAGGCAGAGATAGAGATGTACTGTAGGCTGAGAGCCACAGCAGCGTGACGTGGAGCTATCGATTGGAAAAGGTCAAACAGAGGGGAGAGCAGTTAGCTCATTGTTGATTAGCACTGATAGGCTAACGTCACAGCATCCCCTCTGCTGCCCTGTACAGTGTATTTACTGCTGCTCCTGCAGGGCAGCGGAGGGGGAACTGCCGAGCTGATACATGGCTGGTACTAATACTGGGGAGCCAGCGAGTGTCCGCCAAAGGATTTATACACCAATTAATGCCTCTGCTGCAGAAGTGAGATCATTACACTGTATTTCTTGTTGAATAAAACAAATACTGTTAAAGAAATGGTGAAATATCCATTCTGCATCAGTGACTCATCTCCCTGCTTCTCACCATCTTTTCTTTACACATTCCTTTTTTTTCATTTTATTCTTGCCTCCTCCTCCTCCTCCTCC